TTATCATCATCACCATCACCATGATCATCATCATCATCATCGCCAGCATCATCATCATCATCATCATCATCATCATCATCATCATCATCATCATTCTGATCATCACCACCATCAGCATCACCAACATCGGTAGCATCAGCATCGTCATCGTCGTTGCCGTCTATCATCATGATCAGCAGCCGCATCATCATCATCAGCATCATCATCAGCATCATCATAACCGTGACCATCAGCAGCAGCAACATCACGATCACCACCACCACCATCATCCCCACCATCATCAACATGATCATCACCATCATCATCATTAATGGTTACCATGATTATCATCATCATCAACACCATCATCATCATCATCATCAGCAGCATCGTCATTATCCTCATGAGTAGCAGCATCAATAGCTTCAACGCCCCCACCCCACCAGCATCACCACGACCACCAAAGCCCTCATCATCATGGTCATCATGATCATCATCATCATCATCAGCATCATCATCATCATCAACATCATCATCATCGTCGTCATCGTCATCATCATCGTCGGCATCATCGTCATCATCACAAGCGTCATCGCAATCACCAACATCATCATCATCACCATCATCATCATCGTCATCTCGATCACCATCAGCATCATCATCATGATCGTAATCATCATCATCATCAGCAGCATCATCATCATCATCATCCACGCCATCAGCATCGCCATCATCATCATCAGCATAATCATCATCATCGTGAATGTAATCAGAATCGTCATCATCGTCGTCGTCATCATCCTCATCAGCGGCAACATCTTCGTCGTCGTCATCACCACCACCACCACCACCATTATCATCATCACCATCATCATCATCAGCATACTCGTCCTCATCCTCCTCATCATCAGCAGCATCAGCATCAGCATCAGCACCAGCACCAGCATCTGTATCAGAACAACATCATCTATCCCTCTTAGTCCTCTCCTTCCTCTCCCTTCCGTCGTCTCCTCCTTTCTCCTCGCGGGTCGAAGATGATAGCGATAAACAGCGAGAAAGAAGGCGAGGAGGAAGTAAGGGTGGCGACCGCGCCACGATGCACAACAGCGCCATGCAAGCATCGGACCACATCGGATCCCGGACATCAGGAATTGAATCGGATCGGGCCTGCCGCCGAAATCGATATTGAATCGGATCAGTCGGACCAAAGCGCCGCCAGGAGAAATTTGCGCGGACCTCCAGAAGCTTATGTTTATACCAGTATTTGATTATCTATCCTGGATCCTGGTAAGCGGAACGTGCATCGGATCGATCTGCATCGGCACGGAGTCGAAATCGAATCGGATCGGCTGAGCCAGGATGCACAACAGCGCCATGCGAGCATCGGGCCGCATCGGTTCGTCGGGACATCGGAATACAATCGGATCGGGCTTGACGCGAAAATGAATATCGAATCGGCATCGGCATCGAATCGGATCGATCGGATCAACATGCCCGAATGCCTAGGCCCAGCCCATCTCCGCTCTAAGTGGGTCCTCGGACCCCTCCCGCGGTGCACTTTGACCCGCTCGTCGAGGCGGATCCAGCCGTGCAGACGAGGGTAGGGGAACGAACAATGACATAAACATAAAAACTCGGAGGTCCGCGCGGATTTCTCGGGTCGGCGCTGGACTCCCTTCCCTGGCGCGCGTAGCGCGCCAGGGGCGGCGCCGGAGGCGCCGCCAGTGGGGTCCAGCGCCGACCTGAGAAATCTGCGCGGACCTCCGAGTTTTCATGTTCATGTCATTGTTCGCTCCCCTAACGAGGGGCCACGGGACCGAAGATCACAAACAGGTCTTCCGCGAGATGGCATCGCGGCCCCACGCCGCAGCTCGCGCGGGGCGCCCGCGCGGCACGCCACATCGGCGACGAGGGCGCTCGCGCGCGACCTCCAGCGGGCAGCTCGCGCGCCAATGCCTAGAGCTAAGTCGGGCGTGTCCCCCCACAGGGGAATTCTCGACGAAAAAAAATTGTCAACAAAATACACCCAAAATGTTCAAAAATACTCAAAAAATAGTCACCAGACAATTTTTTGCCTATTTTTGAATATCCCTCCTGTAGAGGGGCAGGCCCGACTTAAGCCTAGAGGTCAAAAAATCCACTCCCAGAAACACCACCCGGGCACGCGAAGTCGTTCAGCAAAAGCGCCCAGAGAAGGCATCGAACAGGGCAGGGCTGTTTGATAAACGCCCAAAGGCCGTTTCGTAAACGCCAATTGTCCGGTCTGGGTGGGTTTTCCTCCCTTGAATTGAAGGTCGACGCATTCCCCCCCCCGCCGAGCCCATCCCACCTATGGGGAAACCAACAGGTACCGCTACAGCCACTCCCCAGACCTCTCCCAGGGCGCGTTCTGACCAAGACTTCGAGGGCGACTCCAGCGGTGGCGACGAGGGCCCTCCCTGGAATGTCGGCGCAGACGGCCCCGTGTTCTTGAGCCGCCCTCTCGGGCGGCGCACAAGCCGAGGAAGACGAACAAAAACACCAGGGACGGCCGCCGTTCTCGCCTGTCGGCTGCACGCGGGGCGCGGCTACCACGGCAAGAGCGGCCTCTGGTGCGCGGCCTCTTGGGGAGCCGCGGGGGGGGGCCCATCGGAGGCGACGACAGGGGCGAATACCCCAGGGGAGAGCAATACGTGTTTTCAGGTGCGCCAATGGTCTATGTCTTCGAGAAAGGCTCCCGGGCGAATGCGTGCAATGCCCGCCCCTGGGCTATTCGCCCCTATCGTCGCCGCCGAGCCCAACACAAAGCGCGCAAGACGCTCCTTTCGCGTCGAGCTCGGCGGCGACCCCGGCCGCGCCGACCGCGCCTGCAGGGGCGCCGACGGAGACGACAACAACGACCACGACGACGACGAGACGACGGGAGACGACGACGACCTTGGCCGCGAAGGCGCGCGCGCGCGCGACTCTGCGAGGCCGGCCCGGGGCGGGCGCCGGCAGAGCACGCCCGGCGCGGGCGCCGCGCCGGGCCGCGGCCACGGGGGCGCCGCGGCGGGCGGCCGCGCGAGCCGCGCGCGGAGCTCCCAGGGATCCCGACGTGCGGGAGAGCGCGACACACCGTCGCTGGGGGCGTCGGCGTCGGCATCGGCGTCGGCGTCGTCGTAATCGTCGTCGTGGTCGTCGTCGTCGTCGTGCTCGTCGTCGCGGTCATCGTCGGCGTCTTCCTCGTCGTCGTCGGCGGCGGCGTCGTCGTCGTCGGCGTCGTGGTCGTGGTCGTTGTCGTCGTCGGCGTCGTGGTCGTGGTCGTCGTCGTCGTCGTCGTCGACGTCGGCGTCGTCGTAGTCGTCGACGTCGTGGATCGTCGTGGTCGACGTCGTGGTCGTCGTCGTGGTCGTCGTCGTCGTCGTCCTCGCGGTCGGCGTCGTCGTCGTACCCGTCGTGGTCGGCGTCGTGGTCGGTGTCGGCGTCGGCGTCGGCGTCGTCGTCGTCAGCGTCGGCGTCGACATCGGCGTTGGCGTCGGCGACGTCGTCGTGCGTCGTGCGTTTTGCGTCGTGCGTCGTGCGTCGTACATCGTACATCGTGCATCGTGAGTCGTTGTCGTCGAAGTAGTGGTCGCGGACATGATCGTGGTCGTGGTCGTCGTAGTCATCGTCGTCGTGGTCGTCGCCGTCGTCGTCGTCGTCGTGGTCGGCGTCGTGGTCGGCGTGGTCGTCAACGTCGGTGTCGCTGTCGTCGTCAGCGTCGGCGTCGGCGTCGGCGTCGTCGTCGGTGTCGGCGGCGACGTCGTGCGTCGTGCGTCGTGCGTTTTGCGTCGTGCGTCGTACGCCGTACGTCGTGTGTCGTGCATCGTGCGTCGTCGTCGTCGTAGTCGTCGTCGTCGTCGTCGTCGTGGTCGGCGTCGTGGTCGGCGTCAGCATCGGCGTCGACGTCGTCGTCGTCGGCGTCGGCGTCGGCGTCGGCGTCAGCGTCGGCGTCGGCGACGTCGTGCGTCGTGCGTTCTGCGTCGTGCGCCGTGCGCCGTGCATCGTGCGTCGTCGTCGTCGTGGTAACGGTCGTGGTCGTGATTTTCGTCGTCGTCGTAGTCGTCATCGGCGTCGTCGACGTCGGCGTCGGCGTCAGCGTCGGCGTCGGCGTCGGCGTCGACGTCGTCGTCGGCGTCGGCGTCGTCGTCGGTGTCGGCGGCTCGTGCGTCGTGCGTTTTGCTTCGTGCATCGTGCGCCGTGCGTCGTGGGTCGTGCATCGTGCATCGTGCGTTTTGGTCGTCGTCGTCGTGGTCGGCGTCGTGGTCGGCGCCGGCGTCGGCGTCAACATCGTCGTCGGCATCGGCGTCGGCGTCAGCGTCGGCGTCGGCGTCGGCGACGTCGTCGTCGTGCGTCGTGCGCCGTCCGTCGTGCGTTTGCTCCGTGCGTGGTGCGTCGTGCATCGTGCGTCGTCGTCGTCGTGGTAGAGGCCGTGGTCGCAATCGTCGTCCTCGTCGTAGTCGTCGTCGTCATCGTGGTGTTCGGAGTCGTGGTCGGTGTCGGCGTCGGCGTCGGCGTCGTCGTCGTCGGCATCGGCGTCGGCATCATCGTCGGCGACGTCATCGTCGTGCATCGTGTGTTTTGCGTCGTGCGCCGTGCGCCGTGCGTCGTGCGTCGTGCATCGTGCGTCGTTGCGTCGTCGTCGTGTTAGTGGTCGTGGTCGTGATCGTCGTCGTCGTCGTCGTCGTCATCGTCGTCGGCGTGGGCGTCGGCGTGGTCGGTGTCGGCGTCGGCGTCGGCGTCGACGTCGGCGTCGGCGACGTCGTCGTCGTGGTCGGCGTTGGCGTTGGCGTCGGCGTCGACGTCGACGTCGTCGTCGTAGTCGGCGTCGTCGTCGTCACCGTCGTCGTGGTCGTGATCGTCGCCGTCGTCGTCGTCGTCGTAGTGGTCGGCGTCGTGGTCGGCGTCGGCGTCGGCGTCGACGTCGTCACATTGGTCGTCGTCGTCGTCGTCGTCGTTGCCAGGGGGGGGAGCATCTGGACTCCCCACTAATTTTCCTGGGAGGGGAGGGGAGGGGGTCGGGGGGGGGGTCCGGGCCGGCCCCCGCTGCCAGCAGCGGCAGAAAGCGCTCTCTCGAAAATGTTTGCTCGATTCCGAGCGCTTCCGACTGATTTTTGTCACACCAACACTTTCCGCCCGATTTCGGGCCCTGGGACCCTCACGAATAAATCTGGCTCAAAAGAAAAGTGGCGCAGAAAGACCCAGACACCCGACGTCTCGATTTTTTCGAGACACAAGCCCTGGACCTCCCGACCACTTCCCCGGGACCGGCTGTTCATCCCGAGTCGTTTGTTGACGATCCCGAGGCCAGGCGAGGGCCCCGAGAGGCCGAAAACGACGAAAAACCTCCGTCTCGAAGTTTCGAGACGCCCGAAATCTGGGCGCGCTGCTGCTATTTTTCAGGGGGCTACGTCAGACCTCGGGGAAGGCCACGACGCTTCCCTGAGCCGCCCGAGACCACATGCTGGAGCTCTTCCCTGCCCTGAGATCCGACGGCGCGAACAAAAATCGAAACACCCTAGACAATTGTGGCTGGAGCCCCCGGACCCCGTCTTTGTGCGCCACGTCTCGAGCCCGATCGATCCGGGAGGGCCCCGGGGCCCGACGCCAGGCGAGGGCGCCCAGCTCGAGACAGCTGAACCGAGGCCGGTCGAAACCACGCGAAGCGCCAGGATCTCGGGGTGGGCGGGCCCGAAGGTACATGCCGGGACGCTTCCCCGGGCAGCCCGAAGGGGGGCGCGCCGCGGCCCGCGGCGGCGGCCGCGGCGGAGCCCCTGGGGCGCGTCGGGCGGCCCAGGGTCACAGCAGGCCGCGGCCGAGCCCGGCGCCGTCGAGGTCTGCGGGGCCGCCCTCCTCCAGAGGCCCGGGCGAGCGGCGAGAAGAGACGTGCGGCGGCAACTCGCGGGAGCCTCCCAGTACCATCTTGTCGGCTCCTGCGGATCGACGCCAATCGACGCTGAATCGACGCTGACCGACGCTGAAGCGGCGCTACCTCATCGACTCCCAGACGCTGAGCGACGCTCAAGATGGAATTACGAGGGTCTACGAGGCTCCCACGGTCTGCTACCAAAGAAGCGGGCCTCACGCGAGATGACACAGAGACCCTACGGGGTGGCTTACGCGGGCCCCCCGCGCGGCACGGCGCCCGAGGAGGGAGGAGGGAGGAAGGAGGGAGGGGTGAGGAGGGAGAACGGACCCCGTTGTCTTCCACCACTCGGGCGTCTGGGGGCGGACCAGGGTGGACCCCGCTGGGGCCGCAGCGGAACGGAGTCGGAGCATCGAGCCGCAACGCCAATGTATCGCGCCGTCGCCGAAGCATCGGTGATGCGGCGCGACGTTCCTCCCACCCCGCTCCTCCTCCTCCTCCTCCTCCTCCTCCTCCTCCTCCTCCTCCTCCTCCTCCTCCTCCTCCTCCTCCTACTCCGGCCCCCTGCAGGCGGCCCCGAAAGAACGGGGGGGGGGGATGGCAAGCGAGGGGGACAGCGAGTCCGCTCGCGCAGCTGGTGTTCCTGGCGCCACCCCCAGCGCCGCAGGCGCCAGTCCATCGAGGAAGGCGCCCAGAGGTGGTGGAGGAGGAGGAGGAGGAGGAGGAGGAGGAGGAGCAGCAGGAGGAGGGGGAGGAGGAGGGGGAGGAGGAGGAGGAGGAGGAGGCGCGCGCCGCAGCTGATCGGAAGCGAGTCCGCGACCGAGAGCTTAAAGAGAGAAGGGAAACCAGTTGAGCTCGCCGCTATGCGCCATCGACGCTCTCGTGCGGCATAAAGCTACACACGCATATTATATGGATGATATGGATGGGGGGGGCACTAACATTTTTCCGTTCAGCAGCACGAGTACAACCTCGAGCACCGCCGAACACGACATGCCCCCCCCAAAAAAAGGTCAGATCGGGTCAAGAACCTTGCCCGACTTCGGATGACGAGCGAGCCGCATATGTAATTTTGGTGGTTTTTGAGCTACGGGTCGACGGGTGGTCCGAGCGGCCCATACACCTATTGCTCAGGCCCCGCAGATTCCCGTTTGGCAAAATCGTGAAAGCAGAGCACAGGGAACAGAAAAGCACCCTCCCGACCTGCTCCATTTCATGGCCAAGGGCCCCGAAACGCTCCTGCAGCACCGTCGAAGGCGGAGCCTGGCCAACCTCCGACTCGGGCCCCAGGACCTCATCAGCAGCCTCCACGGCCACGGGCACCGCCTTCGACGAGAGGGGGAACCGCTCCTCCGATCGATCGGCGAAGACCGCCGTCGCTTTCCAACGCTGGAAGGTGGAGGGCCCACAGACACGCCTGCTACCTGTCTGGAGCTGGGCCAGGGAAGCGGGCGTTTTAGCATACAGGTTGCACACACTACAACGCCACTCACCGAACGCAGGAAAGTGGAACAGCGTGTGCTCCGACAGAGCCAGGGAGTCCTTACTTCTCCTGCTTGGGGTCGGGCGCACGGGCACAGACGCAGACGGGGCCGAGAGCTCCTGGGCCAGCCCCGCGATCGCCTGCGACATTCTAGCCAGAAAATCATATGTGAGCTTGGTGCCCTTTATATTCGCAGCCTGCCACTTCACAAGGGTGTCCGAGACTGCATGGGACTCCGAGTCTAACCTAGCAAAGTAATCAGCCCAGAGATTACCGAGGAAATTCATTACATTGTTCGGCGTGGCGACGCTAACGACATCGCCCCATTCACGGTGGGCGGGGGTCCACTCAAAACTTGGGGCCAAGTCGCTGTCGCCATACAAGCCGAAGATCAATCTCCACACATTCGCGTGCTTCGCGCCACTCGAGGCCAGCTCCACGCCCCACGAAGAACCTTCACGCACAGCACTCAAGTGGTCGGAAACAACATGGGCGTCCAAGGGGCCAACCCGAAGCGCCTGGTAAACCGCAAACCGCTCGGCCCTGGGCACCGACTGGTGGCGCCCTGGGAGACGGCGCGAAGCGGGAGCCCACTGGGCCCCAAATCAACCGCGGACCAACCACACCGTCGCAGTTCGGGGCTGGCGCTGGCCAGTCCTGAACCACCGGCGTCGATGATCTCCCCCCAAGGCGCTTCGGTTGCCCCCCAGGAGCACACAGGGGGCACGTCGGGGACGGGGCTGAGGGGGAGGGCGACCCAAGGGAGAAAATCTAGCACAGGATCGCAATCACATATCTGATGGCCGAGAGAACCCACAACCTGTTTGTCGCAGAAGGTGCACACATTGCTGCTAGCAGAGCCAGCTTCGAATTGGCGCTGAGGAGGCCACATCGCAGGCCCTATCAAGCATCGGAGGGCTCCTCTGCGCGCGGCGTCTCGGACGCTGAGGACTCCGATGCGCAACGAGCGGGGCCCGAGCTTCTCTCCGCCCGAGGCTTCGGGCAGGTGCTTCAAAATGCACATGGCTTGCCAGCGCTGGATACCGGCCTGAAGCTCGTGCCTCAGGTCGTGAGGCGAACAACGCAACAGGTTGAAGGCCACGCCTTCGTCTGAAGTAATAACGCGCGCGGCCGACATGGACCAGCCGACGCGCTGAAGCGAGAGGAGCACCACACTGACTGGGCCACGACACGAATTCCAAGTGGTCCTGTCAAAAAACTGGTCACGTATACGCATCCACGCTCTCTGAAGACGACCTAACGAGAATCTAGCGTCCCATATCACGCCGGCGCATCGCTGTATCAGGGGCACCGTCGCATCGAATACAGGGTCGCAGAACGGATCGACCTGCGTGGCCAGCCAAGCTGTGAGAGACCCAGAGCGTTTGGCACCTACGAGAGAGCCAGCCAGCGTGCGCAGCGCCCTCAAAGATGGGTCGGTGAGTCCGCTAACTCCTGCGCCGTGGCAAGCTGCTGGCATCAGGCCAGTCCTCCAGAGCATCTGCACCTTCCCTGGAGCTCCGCGACGCAACGCAGCAAGCTTGTGACGGCGACGAAATATTTTCTTGAGCCGAGCTCTCTCTTGGGCCCTTTGAAGCCTTCCAGAGAAAACTTCATGGCCCAGGTTACGCATATGGGTGTAGCTCCGCAGTTTGAGGACGCGAGCCGACGACGACACTCTGGACGACGCTTTAGCTGCGGTGGCTACAAGCCCACTCTTGAGAACCTGCAGGATCAGGCCAAAAGAAAAAACTTGATGGCAATACCACCGCACGGCGGCGAGTAGCACGTCGCACTCGCACAGCCGCCTACCTACCCACTGGAAGCTAGAGTCATCTATGAGGATTCGCGGCTGCACAGTTAAATAGAGTCTGCACATCTTGCTGACCACACGGTGGAGGAGCAGATGCATCATCGTGTTAGCGTGGCTGCAGCCAGCTGGTATCCCTTGATGACCAACGACACAGCGCGACACGGAACCGAACGCCTGCACTAGACGAGGACACCGACACAGCGAGAGGAGCATCCACATCATTCTCAAGGGATACGCTAGCTCACAAGTCTGTGTTAAAAGCCGAGAGACAATGATGCATTCATAGCATTTAAACAGATCAAGGAACACGCTTACCGAGCACTCCCCCACCGCCGTAGCCACCTCCGCCTCCACATTATGATCGATGGCCGCGTCCGTAGAGCTGGCTCTTGGACCGTGGCCCCAGAACGATGGGAGTCGGTGGCAACGTTCCCAGTCTTGCGAGACTGGCTTCCTAATCTTGCCCCCACAGACGCAGCAGAGAATTGAGCAGAGCAATGAGGCGGTGTCCGCCTGTCGGCTTGCCGAGCCGAATCAGGCGAGTGTGGATGCGATCTAAAAGGCCAGGAGCTCAGCCTCTCACATACCATGAAGAGGGACGCGAGGACCTCCAGGCCGTCGCTGGACACCTGGTTCAGCGCCTTCGGGTTGAACGCAAGCTGGCCCAGCGCCGCACGCGTCGGGAACGACGCTGCAGCAAGACGGATGTTGGCGACAATGGTTGGCGGTAAGCTGCCCCACGTGTCAGCACCTTGGGGTAGCGGGACTGCGGTGCACTCGTGCATGCTCCAGATCTTGCCCCATTCGCCAGTATAATCATCTGCTCGCTGGAAGGGCCGGGGCCTGGCGTCGGCAGCTGCAAGTTCCTGGATCTCCTTGAGCCTGGAAACCCTGAGCTGCTCCTGCCCCACTAGTGAAAGACTTCTCCGCCCAGGCCGACCACTCCTCACTAGAGACGGTCAGCCACTCCTGAATCTTGGCCCCAGCGAGGTCGATCAAGGGTTGAACCACCTGGTCGAAGTTGGGGTCGACGATGCTAGACGGCACGTCGGACATGCAGGCATTGGCTTCAGGTGACACGCGCTCGAGCACCCACTGGGTCTTGGCCACTCTGCGCGCGAAGCCGTGCAAGAAGTACAACTGCTTGGACATGGCCTTGACGTTGCGCTCGAAGTCGCCGTCGTAGAGGCTGGTCACTTGCGACGGCAACTTGACTCGAGCCGATCGCAGGTACCGAAGCCATCTCGCCAAGGTCTTCCAAGCATTGAGGTCGGACGGCTTGTTTGGCCTCGGCGCCTTGGCCCCCTTCCAAACGCGCCGAGGCGGGCCAGCCCTTCCAAGATAAACCTTTCGAGCAGAACTCTCCTCGATATCATTGCGATCCATTACTTAGGCTTCTAGACCAGCGAGAACAGAATCCCAGCACACTGCAAGATCATCAGAAGACTGTGCATTTTCACACAGATTATTGACCATGCGCCATTCAGCAACTGGAGGGAAGCGACCGCGCCCAACCTTGGGCGTGACAGGAAGTGCTCGAGGCTCGACTGGAACTCTGCAGCACATGCTCCTTGGCTGGGTGGCAATGCCCAGTTCGACAGGGCGGTGGGGGATCAGGTCGGTGCCCACATGGACGTCGACTTCCAAGAGCAGCGGCACCAGGCTCTCCGACGCGTAGAAGAAGTTCCTGG